CGTTCTGGATTAATTGTAAAGGTTTGATAGAACTGGCTGGAAGACCTGCCAAGAGAGCATTGCAATAGTCCAGCCTGGATAGAACAAGAGCTTGAACGAGGAGTTGTGAAGCATGTTCCAAAAGAAAGGGCCTGATCTTCTTGATGTTGAATAAAGCAAATCTGCAAGACCGGGCAGTTTTAGCAATGTGGTCTCAGAAAGTCAACTGATCATCAATCATAATGCCAAGGTTTCTAGCTGTTTTTGAAGGAGTTAGGGTTGATGTGCCTAACTGGATGGTGAAATTGTGATGAAATGATGGGTTTGCTGGAACCACAAGCAGTTCTGTCTTGGCAAGGTTGAGTTGAAGGTGATGGTCCGTCATCCAGCAAGAAATGTCTGTTAGACAGGCTGAGATGCGAGCAGCTATCGTCGGATCATCAGGATGGAATGAGAGGTAGAGTTGAGTGTCATCAGCATAGCAGTGGTATGAAAAGCCATGTTTCTGAATGACAGAACCAAATGATGCCATGTAGACAGAGAAGAGAAGTGGTCCAAGAACTGAGCCCTGAGGCACCCCAGTAGTTAGATGTTGTGACTTGGACACCTCACAATGTGTCCACAACTCGAGAGCTTGATGGGGCGACGCGGAATGAAAAAGTTTTTCAGGAGTCATGGCAGTATAGGCGGCGCAACTAACGACATGTGAATAATGGCGATAGGTGTAAACCGAGCCCTGGGTATCCTGCTTCGCCTTTGTCCGCCTTTGAGAAAATGAAAGCTCAAATGGCCCAATCTGGAATCTTCCCTTTATGTCGTCATACGGGGAAAGGTTACCTCCCCTTTCTCTGCTTTGCCCGCCCAGAGAATTTGGCCCGCCCATGAGAAAATGAGCTACTACCGTGCAAGGCCAGCGCAATATTTTTTTTCCTCGACACATCATGGCTTGCAAACGAGCGAAGCATGGCAGTTGCCCCGCCTCTCTCCTCCTCATTAGCATTGAAGCTACAGACACAGAAATGGCACATCCTAAGGAAGGCTCATGTGGTTTTTCTACCTTAAACCGCATAAACACATTTCATTACACCAAATACACAAAATAATGTTCTTTTTAGCAGCATCATATGACCCCTTTAAAATTTTCTCACAAGGACCTAGAATAAGCCTAGTGCATAACCACTGGATTATGGAATGATAATGATTTTTAATATTATTTTTCTTTTATTAATATATTTATTAATAGTAATAATATAATAAATTAATAATCATATATCTTGTTTACAGTATTTCTTATTTAAATTCAAGTGAGCGCTAGCTCGCCGCTGCTAGAGACTTTATGCGTTTCAACAGATAGAGGACGATTACAACAAATAAACTGCGATGTGTGTTCAGTTCTACGTTCTAATGCTTTTCAGATAAGCCATTTTGTATACAATTATACTCATCCACTAAGAATTGATTGAAGTTTTTCTCGGCTGAATTGAATATCTGTCTTCTCAACGTTATATCGGTGCTCCACTGATGATATCAGTGACAGGCTCAAGTCAGCGTCATCGATCAACGGCAAGCAGCACGCTCTAACAAACACTCTACTACAGCTGAAGTTTTAAAAAATATGAAACTGTTCTTTGTGTAGTTTATGTCCAAATAAAAATATCTACAATGGAAATCGAAAAATATACGCTATCTCAGATTTGATCTCAGTAAGTTACGCCCTGGAGATATTGAACAATTAACCAAAAAGGGCATTACATTGAAAAATAAAGTTACAAATACAATGGAAATACAATACACCATACATTTAAAGTGACAATTAACGTTGCATATGCAAGAAAAAAAAAGATGACTAAAACTACATTTAAAGCTCTTACCTTTTTCTCTGTAAACTCCTCTGTTGCTAGTAGTTTACCGTTGGAGAACGAGGCGCATGCGCAGACCAAAAGTCCGCGCGCGCAAATGATGACGCAGTTATTAACGTGGTAAATCTAGTATTTTTTTATATTTGAATTTTTTTTATTTGATGTAAATTTAAACGCCATACTTTGTTAAAACAAAAATCAATTCACAAATAATAATAATAATAAATAAATAAAATAAACACATTTGTGAGGGTGATTCTAGGAGTCTTGACCCATTTGTTCTCTTCTTACTACCCTGAAGGATTGGAAATGTATTTTCATGCCATTGAAATACATTTTGAAATAGATTTTGTTATGCGAAGGGTTAAACAAACTAGATTTTCACTTTCAAAAATGTATTTCATCGAACTTCACTGTTTACAACCTATATTTACCATATATTTAAAATATATTTTGGCAAGAAAAAAAATTTCCCTGTATGATATGATGGTATGATTTTATAAGCTTGAAGAACATTTGGTTTAATCACTGAAACACAACAGTTTCATCTTGTTTCAATTTAGTACTTTTAATAATCAGTTCATTTAATGGCAAACAATGCAAGATACATGTTTCAAATAAGCCTTGTTGCTGAAATAATTACAGTAACACAGGCTACAGATGCCACTTTAGAAAATACACTTACATTACCTAACTTATGTAACATAAAATCCGTAATGCTTGTAATAGTATCTATTCAGTGTGTTATCAAAAGGTGTGATGAATGACAGCCATGAGGTTTTACTAGAACAGAGTTTGCTGGCAATAAAGCAAATGTTCTCACATATGACTGAATCTATATTGTAGTTTACCTTTTACAGTTACAGTAATGTGGCAATCTGTGGTAATCTGTTTACAGTATCACATGGTGTACTGAAAATGCTGTTTGTTGCCTTCTGTCTCCCTTCTTCTGATGCATCTCTGATCAATCTGATGTTGTCATTGACTGTTTCCTCTCCCTTGTATTCTATGCTGCTTCTCTCTCACACACTCAATTCAATTCAATTCAATTCCTGCTTTATTGGCATGACAATTGTTACAATGTATTGCCAAAGCATAGTGTTTACACTGAATCTAGAACAGATATATATGCAACAAAAACATGTATGTATATACATTTAAAAAAGTAAAACAAATTAACATTTTAGAATCGTAGAATTCTACAAACAATTTATAATTCAGTGTGTGTGTGGTGTGGTGTGTGTGTTTGTGTGTGTGTGTGTGTGGGCGCATCACTGATTTGTTTCTCTTTCAGTTCATTCAGTTTTTTCAGTTCTCTCTCTCTCTCTCTCTCTCTCATACACACACACACACACACACACACACATTTGGTTATAATCTAAGTAAAATTGTGTATAATGTAAAAAGTATTCAATACATTTGGTTTTTCATATTGAACTTTGCAAACAAGGTCTACTAATCAATATTGAAAGAATATAGGTATACCAAATAATTCATTGATTAACCATTAAGTTCAGTTGGATTAAACAATAGACAAATGTATTAAACTGAAAGAAAGGAGATACAATAAAAAGTTTGATATAAGCTCTAAAATAATCTGCCAAGTGTCCCCTTTATAAGTAGACCAAACTTAATCTGTGCTCAAAAGTATTCAAGATTTAAAACAAATTAAGTTGGGGTATGTTTCCCAAAAATGGGAGTGACAGGGGTTAACCAATAGGACTGAGCTAATTTAAATTAAGCGGGAGAGCGGTTATTTTACCCGGGATAGCCTAAAAATAGGTCAGTAGAGATACAACGTGAAACAGCAAGGGTACCTGTTACTGTAACTCATAATTCGACGAACTTTGCCAAACAATATTTCTAAATAATGGATGACAAAGATCAACCACAAGGGTGAGTGCTATTAATATTCACAAGTCTTTTTTAAAATATAGAAGAATTCTAGTTATATTGGTCATTCCTACTTTGCGGAAAATACTTTACATTTTTGGAAGCAATGTTGCCATAGCACAGTTTAGTAAACGTAGTACTATTGTAATTAGGCCTAGTACTGTAACTTACTGTTCATTTTAAAATGTCACGCGCTCAATCATGGCAGTAATCGGCGACGGTCATGATTTTTGTTAAAGAACATATCAAATTAGTTTTTTTTTTAAACAAACCCTACAATGTATCTACAGAACATTTACGAATATACAACATGTGAATTTGAACAAGGTGTTCGCGGAAACTTAAAGTCCTAAAATGTCTTACATTTGTTAATGTAAAAAATAAGGCCTTAACTATGCATTCAAATGTCTTAAATACACGTTTCAAATGCCTTAAAATGCAACTTAACAGTAAAGACTAACATTTTATTTTTACTCGTTGCTTTCTGAAATCTTAAAACCGTGTCAATGCGTTGCACTTGACTGATGCGTTTGAGCTGTAAAGAACCATAGAAAACTATAAATAAAATGCAAAACGTCCTTGATAACCCAGCAAACACAACTACATTGTGAAAAGGTCGTGATAATGTTTTAATCTGACGTGTTTAATACGACAGATGTCGGGTTTTTAACGTTATAAATACGTTTTTCCACAACGTTGCAGAAACGTTATTTATCACGTCTGAATGACTCCTTGCAACGTTTTAAAAACGTACTTAACACGTCCAAACTGGTACTTCACATGCTGCCATCAAATTTTTTTTTACAGTGTTATCTTTCAAAATAAAATGACTTTAATATAAAACAATATAACTGTATAGTAAGAGAAATACATTAAATTTATTTTAAATTTCTTTATATTTCTATATATCTATTCGTCGTTGGCTATTATGTCATGTTACAATATTTCTGTCAATCTGAATATTCAGAAGCACTTTTTAAAATTTCACCTTACCTGTAGGTTAGACCTCTGGTTGTTGTCCATTTTATAAGCATACATATGTAGGCCTAATAATTTATACAAATTTTGTCACTCATATTTATTCACAAAATATAACAAGTAATATGATATGGGTAGTTCACAAAAAAATCTGAACAAGCTAAATACATAAATAAAACACATGAAAATTATGCAATGACTGGCAAATGTAAATATGAGATCATTAACAAATTCCAAAAAAATTCAGTGTAGAGAAGTTATAACAGAAGAAAAAAGCATTTAATTTTTAAAATGTAAAGCATTTTAACTAGTTATACATTATTTTATTGCAATTATTAATTGCAATCTTATTACTTGTTTGCACTAAAACTAATGCTTATATTTGAAGGATTTATTCCAACACAAATTACTAGGGCTGTGTATCACCAGCAAAGTCACGATACAGAGGCCACGATACGATACGTATCTAATGTCTAAGCGCTGACCTCATATGTCATTCCCCTGGAACTGCTTCTGTGTACAACTGTTGGCGCAAGCTACATTAAAGTGATTATTATGTTTTAAATATGGATATTTTTCTTACAAAAACGCATCGATTCGCTACAGGAGGCTTTTGTTCACCCCCTGGAGCCGTGTGAGACACTTTTTTTTATGGAAAGGTGCTTTTTATTTCACGTATTTTGGACAGAAGCAATGCAACACCCGCTGAGTGCAACAATAGAGCTTGAAAGATCAAAGACAATTTGTAATATAACTCCGACTGGATTGGTCTGAAAGAAGAAAGTCATATACACCTAGGATGCCTCGGGGGTGAGTAAAACGCAGCCTAATTTTCATTTTGGGGTGAACTAACCCTTTAACTATGGTATTTGCGTGGTTATACAAATGGTAATAAGTACGCCAAAAAAACAAAACAAAACGTGGTTTTACTATAATAAAACCATGGTTAATTATCGAAAATGTAGGATTAGGTTTGGGATCAGTAGTAGGTCAGATTAACTCAATGCAACACCTAGGGTCACATGATTTGGTGGGTCACAGAATTCGGCGCAACACTGGAAATAAACAAGGTTGTAAACAAGTAAATTGTCTGCGTGCACCTAATTCTGAAGATAACAAATAATATGCTAGTAGACAGCAATCCAGATGAGAAGTCTGGTGTGGAAGGTGGATAAAAACACCCTTGTTGCTTAAATAAAGTTTAAATATGCTGTAGCTACTGATTTAAAATCACAGAATTTGTGAAATGAAACCATTTTTATTTAGGTTATTTATTCTATCTTTAACTCGCCGAAACACATGAAAATTATGCAATGACTGGCAAATGTAAATATGAGATCATTAACAAATTCCAAAAAAATTCAGTGTAGAGAAGTTATAACAGAAGAAAAAAGCATTTAATTTTTAAAATGTAAAGCATTTTAACTAGTTATACATTATTTTATTGCAATTATTAATTGCAATCTTATTACTTGTTTGCACTAAAACTAATGCTTATATTTGAAGGATTTATTCCAACACAAATTACTAGGGCTGTGTATCACCAGCAAAGTCACGATACAGAGGCCACGATACGATACGTATCTAATGTCTAAGCGCTGACCTCATATGTCATTCCCCTGGAACTGCTTCTGTGTACAACTGTTGGCGCAAGCTACATTAAAGTGATTATTATGTTTTAAATATGGATATTTTTCTTACAAAAACGCATCGATTCGCTACAGGAGGCTTTTGTTCACCCCCTGGAGCCGTGTGAGACACTTTTTTTTATGGAAAGGTGCTTTTTATTTCACGTATTTTGGACAGAAGCAATGCAACACCCGCTGAGTGCAACAATAGAGCTTGAAAGATCAAAGACAATTTGTAATATAACTCCGACTGGATTGGTCTGAAAGAAGAAAGTCATATACACCTAGGATGCCTCGGGGGTGAGTAAAACGCAGCCTAATTTTCATTTTGGGGTGAACTAACCCTTTAACTATGGTATTTGCGTGGTTATACAAATGGTAATAAGTACGCCAAAAAAACAAAACAAAACGTGGTTTTACTATAATAAAACCATGGTTAATTATCGAAAATGTAGGATTAGGTTTGGGATCAGTAGTAGGTCAGATTAACTCAATGCAACACCTAGGGTCACATGATTTGGTGGGTCACAGAATTCGGCGCAACACTGGAAATAAACAAGGTTGTAAACAAGTAAATTGTCTGCG